TGTGCGTTTGTTTTCTCCTTCAGTACCTCTGCTGGGGTGGAGTTCTCCAGCTAACCCAGTTTGTTTTGTTTCTATTTGTGATTTTATCCCTTCTTTTTCTCAGAAATCGAAATGTTTTCACTTCTCCAGCTAACCCCGTCAGCTCCTTCAGAGTAGACGGCTAATCGAGATGGCTGAGCTCTGGCAGAGCGCCCGTAGGTGAAGAGTTTCATATCGCTGTTTACAGCCTGTCAGTAATAAACCAACAACGGGGGGGGGGGTCAGGGACGTCTCTCAGCTGCTGGTCCTGAGGCCGTTAGCACACGTGGGTTACACAAAAACGAGATTATACTGTAATAATCTGCCCTTTTGCTTTAAACCCGACCTGACGGCAGCATCCGCTTTAGGTAGGAAGAACTGGGAAAGAGTTAAAGGTTTTTGAGTAAATGTGCTGTTTCCATGGGCTCAGAGATCATTTTATGACTAAAACTTCACTGCCCCCCCCCCCTCTTCTCATCAGAGCTGACCCAGACCAATTAGCAGGAGGACCGTCTGTAAATCCCGCAGACAGAGCACTCTATAATCAGCATTTCAGGACAATCAGCCCTCATCTCTGCTGACCTTCTCACTGCTGCTCACAGGAAACGAGGCGGTGTGATTTCATCCACTTTGTGAAAAACCCAGTAAAACAAAGCAGAAAAACCCACACTTTCAACTCTCAGTCCCATATTGTCTTGGTGACTTTGTTTCAAAACAGTAAGGCATGAGCCCAGTTTTTTTTTTTATGGAGTCATTCTACATTCCTCTCATTAGCTCCCTGTCAACATACATGTAGAACTCATTTTATTTCAATCCATGTCCCTAAAAACGAACGCCCCCATTCTGTCACCTGCACACAGACGATTTCTAACAAGACAAACTGCCTTTTTAAAAAGTTCAATTGTATGTAAATGTCTCACAATTAACAGTTTCAAAGGGCAGAGACCAAAGCCAGAGGAGGCTTTCTTATAGGAACTACCTGATTGATGAATACAATCTTCTCCCCTCAGGTCTCTCCATCCTCTCCTTACTGCCCTCTGTGGTCTGAAACAGGCCGAGTGGGCAGCAGGTTGTAATTCTGAATCATTGTTTAGGTTAGAAGTACCAGAAAAAACCCAGTGGCAACATCTATTCTGAGTAAACACACTCCAGTGGCAGCACAGACCAATATCAGCTCATTCCAGGCTGTTCAGAGCTGCCCGCAGCTAAGGTAACATAGCTAGTGTGTGTTTGGGGAGAGGGGGATCTTCTCAGATTGCTCAGAGAAGAAGCCCCCCGGCCTTCAGCTCAGTTTTCGTTTATGAGACACGAGCTGTCCTTTATGGGTCAGGGGGAAGCTTCTAGTGGCTTCTTCCTCCAACTGAAACACCCAAAACAAAATCTCTCAATGATCATTCAAAGGGTTTAACTAGAAACAAACCCCACTCACTCTCAGCAAAGGTGAGTTTCACTGTGGAGATATCCCTTTTTTTATTGATGCACAGGTAGACACAAATGTTTTTTATTTAGCCGACTTGAAACTGCGTGGATCAAATCAAATTTATTTCAATCCAATCAGGTTCAAACCAATATAAATATATTTGCTAAAAAAACAGAATGAGAGCTTTTGCCCAGCTTTAATCCAGAGGGCTCAGGATGAAATCTCAGGTTAAAGGTCCCAGAGTTGGACTTGATTCAGACATTAGCTTTAGCAGCTATATTCAGGCTCTAACCAGCTGAGATAAAAATGGTTTAAAGAAGCTCATTCACACATCCATCTCTGGCAGACCTGACTTCTGTATTACTCTTTTGTCTGGTCTTCCCAAAATACATATGGAAAGTACGGAAAATACTTCATCTTCATTAGAACGGGCCCCAGTTCTGAACACTTTTAATGTTTAATAGAAAACAACTGTTTTATTTTACCTTTTTTAGTCAAGGTTTGACATTCTCTTTGTTTTGAATCCTTTTTCTGTCAAATTACAGGGTTAAATAGTAGTTTTTTTTATTTTAAAATGATTAATCTCATCTTAATGTATTTGTAAAGTACTTTAAGTTCCTGTTGTGTGTTAATTGTGCCATGAAAATAAACTTGCCTTTCTCTAAGTACCCTCCATATGAATCCTCCTTTTGGCATTTAATTTACAGTGTGTAACGTCTGAAAAAACCTGAAAATGCCAAGAAAACAGGCCTGGCAGCAGCCCATGCAGAGAGCAGGACTTCTCAGATCAAACCCCAGCAGCTCTTGATGCAACATGCAGGAGTTTTTACACCAAGCAGCAACCTGAGGAGGAGAAATAGTCCAGCTTCCTGAATGTCCAATCAGAGACCATCCCCAAAGACCTGAGGTAAAATGTTTACACCCGTTTACAGCTTTGTCGTATTTGGAGAATTTCACAATGAATGTTAAGTAGTTTGATGATTTTTTCTGTTCAAAATCACCCTTTTATTAAACTAAAAATAATGTTTTGATAATGCTTTCCATATGGTTCCAAGTTAACCACTACATCATTAAACAGGAACAAAGGGACACATGAAAAGTACCTGTTGTTTTTTCTTCTTTTTCTCCTCCAGATAAGGACAGAGAGCCATCAGGAGTCTCCAGAAGTGCAGCACTTTAGCATTTACAAACCCTCCATCAAAGAGTACCCATAAGTGTTGAATGCAGTTTGTAAATTGGAAGCAAAATGAAGAAGACTCGGCTTTCTTTAGTCGTGTATCTCAGCGTTTTACTGCTTGTTCACCCTTTTAGGGGACAAGTGGGTCCTAAGTCAAAGCAATCAAACGGGAGACGTTTAACGGCCTCTGATGGAGGATTTTACTGTCTGGATCTCAACTGATTCATTTCCCAGAGCAAATATTGGTGCTACTTCCTACTAAATAACTATCTCCTGAACAGTGCAACAGTAAATCAGCAAACATTAGATCAATTTAATGTTCAGCTTCGTTCCAGATCTGGGAGAGTCTGAGCAGGTCGGGTTGTAAAAACCAAAGAAAAAGCAGAGGGAGGAGAGAAAACTGCAGAGTCTTCTGCATCATAAGCTGCTCCTGTAGTGGACAGTTTGCTGGGAAATGCATCTGTGAACAGAGGTTGTGGTGCTCTTATGTGAATAAACTTTAAAATTATTCTCCATTGTGTCTTACTGCACCTTTTAATTGTCCTCAGACAACCTTCCCGTTTCTGGAGATGCCTTTATCCTTTTTCCTCCTTAAAAATCATCCCTCTTTTTATAAAAGGTGCTGGGCTAGAATACAAAAAGGGATCCAGAATGAGCTCAGCTGCTAAAAAGATGGTTCCAGCCTGAAGGGAGAGCCTCTGTCTGGCTGTCAGGTACACTTTTTATTAATTAATTCTAGGTAAAACATCAGACAAATCCACATACACTTATTTTTTTCCCCAGGGAAAATCAGTTTATTGTCATGGTGAACATGGTGGGCTCTGAAGTGCGTGTAGGAGCAGCTGCTCTCAGGAGAGACGGGGACAGAAACCACTGGCTGACAGTTTCATCCATAGCAGCTCATGTGGGAGCCGAGAAAAACCTCTCCGTTTAGGATCCAGACGTCTGACCGGGAGCAGAGGGAGGGACTCAGAGTAAAGCCCAGAGGAACAGGGAGGCCCCGGTACCTTTGTGTCTGAGAGACAGCAAACAGGCCAGAAACAGTTGGTCAAACACTCCCCCCCCCCTTTGGGTCCCAAGTGGAAACAGGACTTGTGTCAGAACCAGGATGCATGTGTGACATGCTGCAAAGCCTCAACTTAGAAAAACAAACAATGTTCAGATTTAAACATTCAGAGGAGCATCGACGTTCATTTTGAAAGTCAAGGCCTGCGTACAGTCAGGACACAACCCAACATCACACATCTGGATCAGGTCCTTCAGGGGGGAATAAAGGAAGCAGGCAGGTGTGTAACAGGTTTTCATGTCAGTTGTTTACAGTGAACTGCCCATGATACAAAAACAAAACAAAAATAAAGAAATCCTCCTCTGAGCAGCATATAAGGCCCAAATATCTGGTTTCCAAAGTGACCCACATTGGTTTTAGTTCCCCTTCTGTTTTGAAAGACTGGCAAAACATCAAGAGACTGACATTAAAAGAACAATCTAAAACACATCTGGTATAGAAGTGCAATAATGGACACCAATTTTCTGAGTTTTCCGCTGAAAGTGAGTTTAAATAAATCCGGGACATGTGGTCCTTTTTTAAGGAGTGCAATGAGACAGCCGTCCAGCAGGGGGAGCCACTGTCCAGAGGCTGAGGGCCTCCGGGGGCAGAGGGTAGAGGGGTTAGCATGGTGTGGCTACAGGTCACCAAACAGGAGCCTGATTTAGGACAGTTTGGAGTAAAATAGTGAAACATAATTTGGCCGAAAAAAGAAAAAAGTGCTGTCCTCTGACGTGAGTTTAACCTCCATCTAACTGAACTAATGATCTTTTCTGTCCTACAAACGCCGTTCTGTTGACGCTGGCTTTTCTGATTTTGGTCTTTTGGTTTCTGAGGGGAAAAAGACTTAATAAATATGTGACCTATAAGGTGAAACCGGCTCTGTATCCCCACAAACACACAAACACACACAATACAAGACACTTGAGGCCTCCGAATGCTTCAGAAAACGTTCTGTTGGAGGGTAAAAAAAAAAAAAAAAACTGTCTTTCCAACAGCAGTACAAAGGGGGGACATTTGTAATTTAAAGGAAGGGGAGATTTTCAACCAAAGTCTGGTAAAAGAAAGATTTCCTCACTGGGGGGGGGTTTAGGTAGTGATACAGACAGGCTCTTCAATGCTGCCTTTACAGATATAAACACACTTCTGTCTGAATGTTCCAGCGTTTTACACCAACACCAGGGCTTCTTCTCTCTAAACATTATTCTCTCAATTTCCCCAACTCTATTAAAATCTAACAAACAGCTACAGGCCCATTAACGCGTCATTGTCCTGCTAACCACCATCCGGCTGTGGTTTATGGAGGAATGAGTCCTGGAGCTCCTCCGGTTCTCCTCGGGTTCTCCACATGCAGATGTCTTCACAATGATGGTTTGGCTGTTTGATGCTACACACAAAGCTCAGAGGAGCGGCCCACTGAGACTCCCCGTGTTCCTCTGAATGAGACGTATGATTCAAAGCCAAATGTAAACCAGAGACTGAATGAGACAGAACTACTTCTGAGGGTCCATGACGGCTTTTGTCTCTTGGAGAGCGTTTTGCTGGTTGTCATTAGGTGAAAAGCTCTCTGCCTTCACAAGTTCTGAGCTCCTTTAAACCCCAGGCAGGAGACCCTGTTTCCAGAGTCTCCAGGTCAGGAGGAGCCGGAGTGTTTTTGCCAAACCGGAAGCCAGACGCTTCCCATTCCCTCGGTAAAGTTAATGGCTGTGAAGGGGGGGTTGAGGATGGACTCCAGTTCAAAGCTCAGCCCTTCTTCTCTTTTTTTGGATGAGCACCCCTTCTCCTCCTCCTTCTCTCCTCTGGGAGTCGGTCAAAAGGTGCATCCGTTGCGTCATGATGAGGAGTGGAGGGGTGGGCGGGGCCAGAGGCGGGGCGAGGGGCGGGGCTACCATATGTGGGATTCACAGTGAGTCATTTTAATCACGCCAACGCCGCCACCTAACCGCCGGTAGTTCATCCCTCCATACAGCCTAGAGGAAGGGAAAGCAGATGAGAGGTTTAAAGCCAAGTCTAAAGGAGCCTCACTGGTCTAAAGGA